CCCCCCGATTGTTCCATGTGTGTACTGCCCACTTGGAGCCTTCTGCCTGGCTGTCTGGCCCTTCCTTTGTGCCTGTGGACATAGCATGGGAAAACCCGGGTTCTACTGTTGGGCAAGGCCGCATGGCTCCTTCCTGCGGTTAGAAAAACCTTAGAATGAATGCTTCAACTGCAGGGTGTCAGAGCCTGTGCCCTCAGCAGGAAAAGGCTCACAGACAGAAAAGGCAAAGGAGGGCTCTGAGCCATAGTGGGGGCGGGGAAAGGGGGTCTGTCTGTGATCATTCAGCCCCGAAATGACGCTCATGATGATGGCTTTCCAGGCCATTAATTCAAGGGCTTCAGGCTCCCCTCCCCCACGTCACTGCCTGCTCTGGGAGATAAGCCCAGTTCTGTTTAACCCTACCTCTTCCCCCAAAGTGGCTTCCACCTCTGCTGGGCAGACATTTAACTCCCTGGATCCCGAAAGGCTTCAATGACTGACGGTGCTCATGCGTCAGGAGAGGAGGCTCATTTTACCTGGGCCCCAGAATCCTGATCTGGGATCTGTAGGCTTCGAAGGAGTCCTGGGAGCTTCTCTCTGTACTCTGCCAGGAAGTCCAGGTTCTCCCAGGGCAGTGGGACCCACTGTGGCCCTAGAAGAGCTACCCATTCCCAGACAGGATAGCTACAGATTCAGCTCCCTCCCCATAAGTCCTCCCTCCCCGTTCCTTAGTCACAGGATTTGGGGGTCAGAGGGGAAATCCGCGGCACCTCTGCCTCTTCTGTGTCCTGCTGGCTGGTGGCTCTGCCTGGTGGTCTCTTTCCCTTCTTGTTTCTTCTTGTCTTCCTGCCCTCACCTCCTTTGTTCTCGCTTCTTTACCATCAGTCATCACAGGAGGATGTTCCTGAGTGTTATTCTCAATGTGAATCGTGTGTCTCTCTGTGTGTTCATGTCCTCATGTTTGGGAGCCTGCCTGTGTATAATCCTCCATGTTCGCATCTATCCCTGTGTTCATATGAGAATGACTCCTCGGTATCTCGTTTCTTCGTATGGGGGCAGTCTTGGTACCAATCTTTCATTGTCTATGTGTTGGTCTGTCCTTGATCTGTATGTAGTTCTGTCCATTGTTCTGTCCATCTGTATGAGTCTCCCAGTGTACTTGAATCTGTAGGCTGGTTCTCATTTCTCCATGTTTCTGTCATTTGGTTTGTCATTGTTTGTGTGTGTATGAATGTATGTATGAGCATGTATGTGTGTGAGCTTGTATATGTATATGCTGTGTTTCTACTAAGGGTCATAGCCCATGCAGAATCTTCTCATAGTGGGGGCCCAAGAGAAGCCATGCAGAAGAATCTGATGGTTTCATCAAAGCACAGCCCAACTCATCATCATCTAGCTGAGGCCACTCGCCAGGTCTCATGTCCTCGACCCCCTTTCTGACCACCATTTCCTTATCCTCAGGTAGGCTCAGAACTGGAAGGGGCAGGGGGCTGAGACAAAAAGTGTTCTAGCCCAATTAGACTCTCAGACTCAACCATGTGCTTTTTGTTTGTGCACACACACACACACACACACACACACACACACACCCCACAACAATAATAAGTAGCAATTTGGGTACAGTAACAACAATACCTATGTCAATGGCTGCCACATATTAGGTACAAAACACACATTAACAATTTTGTATACAAGAGTTTTCTGAATTCTCTGAATAATTATATGAGGCTGTTCTCACATGGTAGGGATGAGAAAATGAGAGTAAGAGGAATTAGGGAGATAGTTCAACACCCCAGAGCTGGGATATGATGAAGCAGGATTACCACGTAAGTGACAGGCTGCTTAGGAGCCGGCCACAGCCACTTCCAGCCCAGGAAGAGGCATTTACTGCAAACAGCAGGAAATGGAGGTCCTTCCCAATGGCTGCTCACAGCTCATTTCAACCAGAGCAACTGAGATCTGATTTTGGATTTCATCTCTCTGGGCAGTAGAGGATCAAAGACCAAACAAAGCCTGAGAGAGGGGAGGGAGGTTTACACAGGGGAGGGTCTGGGGGGGGGGACCATCTAGCTCCCTGGGTTCTAAGGTGGCTTTCTCTTGGATTCTGGATGACCTTGAGCAGGACACTTCATTTCGTTACAGGAATGAGGGTTTGCTTATCTGTAAAATTAGGGATGAAAAGAGGCTCTCTCGGGATATTTGAAGATGGAAGACAGGATAAATCAAGTGCTCTCTCAGAATTAGGTCTCAGAGTTGAGAATTGGGGTGAGAAGTGTGTGTGGGGGGCACACTTGCTCTGGTAATTCCAACAGAATAGCCACACACACACACACACACACACACACACACACACACACACACTCACACTAAGGGTGGTAAAAAAAAAAACGTGGACTGAATGAGTGAAAAACTAAATGGTCCCATTTCTCAGTGATGAAAGAACCCTAGAGCCTGCTCTGGTCCTATAATAACAAACAAACAAACAAAAACAAATAAACAAACACTGTAAGGAAAATGGAAGAGAAGGTAAGTGCTTTGGACTTGCATGTCAAAGAAGGCACCCCTGACTATCTCAAAGTGTGTGTTGAGAGGCACAGAGGTCACTCTGCAAAGGCACCTGGTCCTTCTGCCTACTTATGTCAGGTGGGCCAGAGGAATTCCTCTAGGAAGAAGAGGCAAGGAGGGAGTGGGTGGTGGAAAGCCTGGTCTGGAGGAATCTGCAGGGCAAACCTCTGGGTTGAAGGGTCCTTCTGTTTCAAGCTTTTTTCGAAGGGAGATCGTCCTTGCATACTACTTACTGGGAAAGAATCTCGGTCCTGTCTTTGCCTCTATCAAGTCGCTGGAGGTGACCAGAATTAGCCATGCTAGGGGGAAGGGTTTTGATCTTGGTTTGGCAGGAGGTGGGGTTTTTTGCAGTGGGCATGAGAGGGAAGTGGGGGGCGTGGGGGGAGGATGAGGAGCACTCCGTCCCGTGTATGGCACAGAGACCTCTTCCAGAGATCGTGAGGCGCTTGAGTTGAAGGGGGAGGGGTTAAGGGTAGCCCGCCTAGTCCTGGCAGCTCCTACTCGCCGATCAAAGCCCTCAGGCCGCCCTACTTGTGCGCTGACCTGGGCTAATTTAAGAATACTGCAGGGGAGGGGGAGACTGGGGTTCCCGCGGAGAAAGAGTCTCCAGAGGGGACATGAGTCGTGGGAGTCATTATCATTTCTTTCAGCCTTCCTCGGCCCAGTGACAATGCTACTTCTTTATCTAGGCTGGGACTGCTGCAGGTCCCATCCCGTGGTTTATTGCTCAGGAGTTAGAGAAAGAACCTAGCTGAGGAAGGACACAGGCAGGGACCTCCACGAAGCAGCCTCAGCACCTCATGGAGACTACAAAGGGACTCACGCCAGTACGCACGCAGGCAACTCCATTCAGGAACACCAGCTCCACACTGAGACTCCACTGCGCACGAAACCACACACGGAATACACACGGTTACCAAACCTCACGCTCAGAGTTCACACAGCGCCGACCCACAGCGGTATCTGATGCGATGTCTTTGTCTCTGGATCTCTTTGGTCTTCGTGCTCGCACACATACGCACTCAACAGAAACATCCAAGCTCTCAATCCAGGGGGCGATGATCCGAGCCTGGCCGAGCGCACTCGTATATCTGCGCCCTGCTTCGCGGGGCCGGCCGTGATCCTGTCTTTCTCGGCATAAGCATTTGCTACGAGAGGCATCCTCGGAGTCCTGTTCCTTCCAAGCCTCCATATGAAAAGAGAGAGAGGGAAAAAGCGAACTGCCAGCCTTTCGCCTCCACTTTCTGCGCATCTGGAAAGCAGTTGGTGGCCAGCTACCCGCTTCCATCGTGGCATCCCTGGACGGCAGAAACAGCTTAGGTGGTCTAGTCCGGGAGTGAACGTCTTTCAAAGTGATCCAAGACGGTAACTTCTGTCACAAGATGGACTTGCGGAGAGATTTAAGAGCGAGTAATAGATGGAAGAGAGAGAGAGAGAGACGTCCGCCCGCCCGGCTCGGCTGGAGACCTGCAACTGTCCTGATGGCTATGCCGATGTCAAGCCAGAAGTTCTGGGGCCGCAGAGCTTGGGGACTCTGCAGGGTTGGCCGGGGGGTGGAGAACCTCGAGAACCAGCCCATACTGAACTCCTCCCTCCTTGCGGCGGGGACGAGGTGGGACGGGCCAGGACGCCCTCTTAGCACCTCCTCCAGAAATGCAGCACTTGGGGGGCCCCCACCCAGGCCTCCCAGTGCTCCTTCCCTCCGCCTTCCCAAGGGTGCCCCTCTCCAGTCCCTGTCACACTTCCAAAACCTTCCGTGCCCCCTTTTCCTCCACCTGGCCCCCACCTCACGCCCCCTGGCTTGGGCAGCATCCCCTTTCCGCCCTCCGCCCACGCACCGCCTGACTTCGAGGGGTGCAAGCGCATTGGGCTGCGCCCGCGTGGGGGCGCCGCGCCAGCTTCGCGTAGCTGCTCTGACGCCGCCGTCGCCGCCGCCCTCCGCAGCCCAGCCGGCACCCGCGCCAGCTCTGCAGAGCACTCGTCGCCTCTCCGGCCGGTCCCATCGAGAGCCAGTTTATCACACCCGGAGTCAGCCTCGAACGCCGGGCACGAGGGTCATGAACCAGAGCGCCCCAGGGCGCCGCGCAAAGAGCCAGCGGAGAGAGCGGCCTTCACTGCCTTGACACGCGCTAGCCGCGTCCCCAGCCCCTTCTGTCCTTTTCTCCTGCCCCGCCGCCGCCATGGCCACCCTGCTCCGCAGCAAGCTGACCAATGTGGCCACATCCGTGTCCAACAAGTCTCAGGCCAAGGTGAGCGGCATGTTTGCCAGGATGGGGTTTCAGGCGGCCACGGATGAGGAGGCGGTGGGCTTCGCGCACTGCGACGACCTCGACTTTGAGCATCGCCAGGGCCTGCAGATGGACATCCTGAAATCGGAAGGCGAGCCCTGCGGAGACGAGGGCGCCGAACCGCCCGTCGAGGGAGACATCCATTACCAGCGCGGCGGCGCTCCTCTGCCACCGTCTGGCTCCAAGGACCAGGCCGTGGGAGCTGGTGGCGAGTTCGGGGGTCAAGACAAGCCCAAGATCACGGCGTGGGAGGCGGGTTGGAACGTGACAAACGCCATTCAGGTGAGCGCGGGATTCCCAGCTCTGACAGTCACCACCCCCACCTGAGCTGTGAATGCCAGCCTCTGCCCCCACAAGAACCCGCAGAGGTCTAGGCTTCAATGCCCCCCTCCCTTCCACTGGAGAATTTTTCTCCCCTTCCCCGACCTTCCTAGCTGTGTGGGAATCTACGCCCCCAGGTGGTGTCCTGTTCAGATCCACAGAGCCTCCTCTTACTGCCCCTGCTGCAGGACAGTCTGGCTGATGTTTGCGGGGTGGGGGGAGACAAATCCAGAGACCCTGCAAAAGCTGGAGAAATAGGGAAAGGCTTAGGGCAGAGGGAGGGGGTGAGGGAGAAAGAAAACCAGGATCCGAAGGGAGAGTTTGCCTTGGGCTCCGGAATGGAGTCACAGCTGCATTTTCCGGAGGAGAGGGGGGCGGGGGACAGCTGAGCTGGGAGTCTCCTCCTCCGGACACACGCAGAAATCGTGCACACGTACAGAGGGGGACACGTACCAGCAGCCCCTTTCCCCCACGAACAAACAGGCGCATGACATGCATCTATTTACAGTTCGTAGGGTTACCCCAGATGCACTTGCCTACACCCCAAGATGCTCCCCAATAGCAGCAGTACTTTTACACAGAAAGTACCCATGTATTAGCTTGATTATAACGCTTGCACACACAAGCACACACTCAGGCTCGTGCAGCTTTGTTGGAGACAAACAGGCTAGCACATAGGAACACCTATGGTCGGAGGGACTCCGCGCTATGCAGCTGCGCAGACTGGCTCCTCTCCTCCGAAATCCCGGCTGCACCGCAGAAGCCGGATCTCCTCCTCCACCTGCCCGCCAAGCCGCTCCTGTGGTTGAGAACTGCCCTAGGCCTCCAAAGTCGCGGTCTATAACCTCGAATCCCAACCCCTATCCCAGTCCCGGTCCCACCAGGAGCGTGGAATTCCTCCGCTGAAGGATCTGGAGCGCTCAAAACAACCCCGGGAGCTGGCAGGGGTTGTTGGGCCCCAACTTCTGGGAGGGAAGAGGCCTCGATTCTGGGAGCCCCTGGGCTCTGTGTCTTGGCTCCCTAGCATCTCTAGAGTGTTGAATCGTTGAGACAGGAAACGTAGGTTTCTTAGGGGTGGAAGGCGGCAGCTGGCTTTCTCTGGACCTTAGACTCAGAGGGATAGGTGTCTTCAAGCGTGGCACTTCCCATTCCAGGGATAGGAGAGACAAGCCTTAACAGAATACAGGACAGGGTTGGGGTCCCGGCGGTTGCCGGGTGCTTCTCCTTGGGTCTTTCAAGGTTCTGTTCTGTAGCTCGGACACAGGTAGGCTGGAGGTGCACAGGCCTAGAGAATTCTATATTTCGTTAGCTTTTCTTCTCTATGTAAATTATAAACGACATTGAAGAGCTTTGGCCCTTCCATCTCACCGGGTTCTAGAAACCCGCTGGCTTTGGCTTCCCGCAGCGATCGGGCTTCCTGGGTTGGAAGCATCCCTGCTCTGATCCCCATCCGCAGATCCCACTTAATACCTTTCTTAGGGTTTGCCCCGGGCCCAACTCCAGCCTTGCACTAGGGTGTCTTATTCCAAGCCCGTACCCCCACCTTCATTCCGTTCCCCAAAGGCCCGAGCCTACCCAAAGCGTCTGCGTATTTCTCCTTTTCTGGCTTTCTTCGGTTTTCAGCCCGTTCCTCTCTATCCGACCTCCACTCCTCTAGTTTGACCCTTAGACTCTCGTATTCCCTCGTTGATGAGCACCCCATTCCAGGCCACCTTAAATTCGGTGACCAGCTCTCCAGAGCTTTCTAAAGCGCCCTTCTGGGACCATGCTCCTTCTAGTCCCTGCTTTCCATCCCCGCCTCTGATTGTGTCCCCAGGAAGCACCTAAGAGGATCTCTATAATCCCCTCTACCCTCAGCTTCCTCCATTCCCTTCCTGCACTAGCCTTCCTACTGACTCAATGCTCCGATTCTGCGTTAGGGCCCATTTCACAAGGATTCAACCCCCACCCTCTCCTCCTGGTGGCCTAGGAGCAAGTCCTCCTCTCCTAGCGCCCCCTAGCGATAGTTTTGGGCTTTACTGGCATGGTCCCCTTCCAAGGCTGCCTCCGCTGAGCTCCTGGGTCTGGTTGCCTCTTTGCACCACAGGGCATGTTTGTGCTGGGCCTACCCTACGCCATCCTCCACGGCGGCTACCTGGGGTTGTTCCTCATCATCTTCGCTGCAGTGGTGTGTTGCTACACCGGCAAGATCCTCATCGCATGCTTATACGAGGAGAACGAAGACGGCGAGGTGGTGCGTGTGCGGGACTCTTACGTGGCCATAGCCAATGCGTGCTGCGCTCCTCGCTTCCCCACGCTGGGTGGCCGCGTGGTCAATGTGGCGCAGATCATCGAGCTGGTGATGACGTGCATATTGTACGTGGTCGTGAGCGGCAACCTTATGTACAATAGCTTCCCGGGGCTGCCCGTGTCGCAAAAGTCCTGGTCCATCATCGCCACGGCGGTGCTGCTGCCCTGCGCCTTTCTGAAGAACCTCAAGGCTGTGTCCAAGTTCAGTCTGCTGTGCACGCTGGCCCACTTCGTCATCAACATCCTGGTTATCGCCTACTGTCTCTCTCGCGCGCGTGACTGGGCCTGGGAGAAGGTGAAGTTCTACATCGACGTCAAGAAATTTCCCATCTCCATCGGCATCATCGTGTTCAGCTACACGTCGCAGATCTTCCTGCCCTCGCTCGAAGGCAACATGCAACAGCCCAGCGAATTCCACTGCATGATGAACTGGACGCACATCGCCGCCTGCGTGCTCAAGGGACTCTTCGCGCTCGTCGCCTATCTCACCTGGGCCGACGAGACCAAGGAGGTCATCACGGATAACCTGCCCGGCTCCATCCGCGCCGTAGTCAATCTCTTCCTGGTGGCCAAGGCGCTGCTGTCCTACCCGTTGCCCTTCTTCGCGGCGGTCGAAGTGCTGGAGAAGTCTCTCTTCCAGGAAGGCAGCCGCGCCTTCTTCCCCGCCTGCTACGGAGGCGACGGTCGCCTCAAGTCCTGGGGGCTGACGCTGCGCTGCGCGCTGGTGGTCTTCACGCTGCTCATGGCCATCTACGTGCCGCACTTCGCGCTGCTCATGGGCCTCACCGGCAGTCTCACCGGCGCCGGCCTCTGCTTCCTGCTGCCCAGCCTCTTCCACCTACGCCTACTCTGGCGCAAGCTGCTGTGGCACCAGGTCTTCTTCGATGTGGCCATCTTCGTCATTGGCGGCATCTGCAGCGTGTCCGGCTTCGTGCATTCACTCGAGGGCCTCATCGAGGCCTACCGAACCAACGCAGAGGACTAGGGGGCGGGGTCCCTGCCCCCAGCTCCCGCCCCACCCACCCCCACTCCCTCCCATTCCCTCTCCCACAGCCCCGTGCGCCGCTGCGCTAGGGAGGCCGAGCTTTAAACACCTCTGGTTCCTAGTTGCTGATTATTCGGGGACGGGGTGGGGGAGGGAGGGGATAGACATCTAAGGTCCACTGCGTCTGCGTTTCTGTCGTCCTTTCTATTCCACACCGCCCTGGTTTGGGGGGAGGGAGCGGAGCGTATTTGTGGAGAATGTTTTCTGTCCTTCCTGAAGGCCCCCTCCCCCCAGCTTTGACCCCAGTCACTGATGGGGTTGGGAAGGGAGGGGGAAAGGGCGCACGCAGCTCGCAGGCTCGGAAACTTGACCTTGGGGGTGGGGTGGGGGACATTTCACAGCCATCCAGTGCTTGGAATCTACAGCGTCCAGCCATTTCCAGCAAGAGCGCTCCCCATGCCCTAGACATTTCAACCTTGCGGCCTGAAAGGCTGACCGGGAAATCCATTTCGGGCGGGCGACTTCTTTCTGGAGAAGCCGCGGCAGGAGCCCGTTTGCCTGCCGGTTTTCAGGAACCCAAACTCATCTTGTGCAATGTATCCGGTTGTGGAAGTGTATACTGTGTGTGTGGTGTGCTCGTGGTGAATAAGATGAAATGTATATCAGAAAAAAAAATCTATCTCTAATTTAGAGTGCGGTGCATAATAATTATATCCGCAAATAAAGAAGAAACAAAGGCGTTTCTGGCCTCCTGTTCACTGCTGCCCAGCGCGGTGATAAGTGGGAGGCAGGTGGTGGGGGACACCCAGCTCTGGCCGGGTAAAACAGGGCAGAGGGAAGGAGCAGATGTGGTTAAAAGTCCTGGGAGACATGAGTTGGTTCGCACCCAGATGTTAGAATGCAAGAGCCAATGGGCCCCTTGCTGCTAGGATTCGGAGGATCCGTATAGAATGTGGTAGGCTCTTTCAGCTTCTAACCCTAAAGCGGATAGGGTGCAAATTTACTGGACAAATGGTTATTAGGGTTAGCTTTAAGTTAGGTAACAGAGCACACTGCTAGCTTACAGTACGGGAGGAAGCATTTCAGGGAGAGGGACAAGCCAGGCAACAAACGACCAAAAGCATAAATCCCTTATGGGTCTGCAAACTGCGAAGAGATCGGTAAAGGAGTGGGTTGTGGGTTTTCCGGCCCCTGGGACCAGGCGCCAAACCCATTGCCTTGCAGGTACCTAATTGCCAAA